ATCATCCGCCAGGACGTCCATTTCGACGAGAAAGCAAACAAAGCGGTTGTTGAGCTTAGCTCCGATCTAGAGGAGGAATCGCCCACGGCGGTGGAGGGTGGCGAACAAGATCCGCTAGGGATCAAAAAGGGGCCCTTATTGGAGCGGGTCAGCGCGCCAAAATAAAAAGCCGGCCAATTCGGGGAAGTTCCAAATTTAAAGCGCCAAGCAGAGGCATACGGTCGAAAGAGATGGAGGTGGACCAAGGGATTCAACTACCGGCTGCCCAGAGGTGCCCCGCCAGCGCTAGGCGGGCACCGGGGAGGTAATTCCGCGCCAACTTGGCGGCAGACATTGAAGCAGCAAAGCATCGATTAGGGTTAGGGGAGCATCAACAACCGCATAAATATTAGGAAGCTGTAGAGGGAAAGAAGAGTGACGTTTAGCGGAACTTTATGGGCGAGGAGATGCGTTCCCTCCTAGAAAACGGAACGTGGGAGATAGTCACAAAATTGGGGTCAAGCCGGCTTCCATGAAGTGGGTTAACAAGATCAAGCGGGACGCTCACGGGAACGTGGCGTAGGCGTCCAAGTCTTGCATAGCGTTGTAGAAGGAGCTTGCGAATGATGCCCTTAACTCAGCCCGGTTGCTTGATGGAGAAATGCTCGGGGAATGGAGATAAGATTCGTTTGTAATAGGATAAGGTTCGGAGGCAGTGTTAGCGGCAGTTGAGCTTTGGACACAAGCACCGTGGAACAAAATAGCACCCGACCACTATGTCCGACCGTCACTTTATATCGCTAGCATGCCTTGGAGATAAATTTTCCGCGCAATCCACGACCGGCCTCAGCTTGAGTCAAATGCCTGGCAACAATTTGTGATTGACACGGCCTCTTGCGGTTTATCGCGCGGCGGTCTACTACTGCCGCCCAACATCACATTAATAATACCGTGACCGTAGAGGCTGAACTCCAAGACCGTACGGTACTAGTGTTTAGTCTGACAGGTTTGGACCGGGTAGCTTATTTGGTGGCCTAAGTATGCGACGTGTGGCATGGCATCACTTTTTTGCTCGTGCGGCCATCTCGCAAAGTGCACACTCTGCACGCGCAGCCACACTATGCACGGGCAGAACGTTTTCGCCCCAACTTGACACTGCATTCTGCCTGGTGTTTGGATGAGGCACTTTAGCACCGTCGATGAAGATTTTGACGGCCAAAAGCACCTTATCCTCCACCGCGATCAACTTTGAGATCTGAAGTGGTGGCTTGTACGGCCTCCAGATTAGGGGCATGGTCGCGCGCTACTTTTACGACGCTATGTTGGCTCTTCTTCGGTGCGCGTCTTTGACGCACTGAGTACCTCTAGGCAGCCGCAAATTTGCATCTTGGTATCCTCCTCAATCTCTTTCGGCTCTGCCTTGTCTTTGCGCACGCTTTCAGAGTTGCCCCTTATTTTGGCTCGTTTGCGAAAGCGACAGCAGCGGTCGCGCGCGCGCGGTCGTGTCGTCCTTGCGCAGAGAATCAACTTTGGATCTATCATGGGCTTCCGTCTGAACCTGTGCGCCGTACAGACCCTCCGCCGTCTCAAGACCGTCCGTGGGGTTGGAGCCAAGTTCGACAACCCCATCGCCCCCAATCCCCTCGTCAAGTATGACGTTCTTGGAGATAATCCATATCGCGTCACGGCCCCAAAGCCTAGATGCACGCCTTCAAGCCCGCGGCTCGTACCCCATGAACACACATTGCTCGTTCCCCGGATCTAACTTACGCCTTCGCTGCTTAGGGACGTGTCTGAAGGCTCGGCCGCCAAAAACTTCTCATTTGAGGCTTCGTTTACACCGACGAACGTCTTCCAGGGAGTTTTCCCCTCGTTTTCCCATGTGCGCTCACGGACGTCCGGTTCTGAGTGTAGTTGGCCGTTATCACAGCTTCCGCCCACAACTCTTTGGGCAACCCCAAGTCCTCGAGCATCGTCTGAATTTTCTGCTTCAAACCCTGGTTCAGATTACTCGGCCGACCCATTGAGTTGGTATTGTAGGGGGCGTCCTCTCGTGAACCATCCCTTTGCCCCCGAACACGTCTTCAAGGGCCTTGATGACGTTCACCTTGCCCTGATCCGTTTGCACCGTCGACTTGAGCTTCTTCCTTAATTGCAATTCCAATCGGTTTATTGTCCCCTTCGTCTATTGGCCACCTCGCTTTTTTGCTTCAGGGGACTACAACACAAGCAACCTAGGGTGGTTCCGAGCCGTGTCGATCGTGTCGCGAGTCTAATTCGATCCGAGTCAATTTCCGACTCGATGAATTGGACGATTTTAGTAACGGCGAATGACGGTACGTTCTGAAAGGCAATCGCGTCGGCTGACCCGCCAGGTCTAAGACATTGTTTGTACTAGTAGAATCAGTGTCACACTAAGTTACACTCAAAATGTAGACTTAAAATGGGGCTCAAAGCCTCAGTCAGGCTTTATATGTTGTAGACAAGCCTAAGGTGCAGCCATAAAACCTAGTCTAGAATGGCGTCAATGCATGTCTTTGAAGTCCCCTCAAGGCCTTTTGTCGTGGCATATCGGCAGGTGCACCTATATATTGCCAAAGTTGGCTGCCATGGTGGCGCTGTGGTGAGCTTCAAGGAGAAGCTTTTCATGACACTCATCCTTCCTTCTTCTACCGTCCCACGGACTTGCTGGGGTATCGGGGTACGTTGTAGCGGCACGCGGTCGTCCGATCGTACTTCAAATCAAGACCTGAAATTTTGAAATGTGTCGCGCGACAGACTGGGTCCGCAGCACGGCGAAACCGTACCTCTTGGATTCGCGGAAGTTCAACGGTCACCGTCCTTACCAAAGTTTATATGGATTCTCGATCCGAATTCGGGACTCTGTTTCTAAAATATTCCGCACTGATCAGTATCGGCGCCGGTACCCCGGCGTTGCGATTTTGTCGCAAATTCGTCACGAAAACTGACGAGATCGCGGATTTGTACGGACCGAAACCCACCCTAGGTTGCGTGTGAACCAAAAGTTTGCTGTAGTTGTCCAAGAACGTGGCGAAGAACCGGCTACCCCCTACTGAGGCTACCCGCATTGGCCCATTGAACATCCATGTGGACTAGCTCGAGAGGCTCCATGCTCAGTCGAGTCGGATTCCGGGAACTTGGGCTGAGAAGCTTAGTTTGCTTTCCCATTGTGCAGGGCCGCTCGCACACCAAGGGTATAGGCGCCCGAAACGCGTTCAAGTTTCTTCCCGACCAAGTTCCACGAGATCGCCATATACCAAGTTTCGCCGATTTTCGTACCTGGCGTGTCCCAACCGTCGGTGCCATAACTCCGCCGTTTTCGGCTCCACAAGTAGCACGTGTCCATTTGAGCCCGGTTGACCACGTACGGTAGATCTATTCACTTTCTGAGCAATAAGGACGAATCCTTGTCAATTCCAAGCTCGCAGTTGCCGTTCTCCTTGAACACCACCGAGGCGACTTCGGTTGCCTTGCAAGTACCGAAATTATAATTATTCGCCGCCACCCTCGAGACATACGTCACGTTTTGCAGACGGCGACCAAACTTTCGCCGTTGGTGTCGCACACCGCAGCTCGACGGAGCCGCTCCCCTTTGCCCATAGGGTTCCCTTGTCCCCAAACGTGACTTCTCGGCCACTCCCCGCAAAAAAGTTCTGAGGGTCTCAAATAAGCTCTTGTTCCCGGTTAGGTTTTGAGAGTCCACGAATCGAAAAGCCACTCGTTGATACAGACACCCCTTCAGTCGACGCTGAAGACCCTTGGAAGGTTTCTCTCCCTTCTTTTGCTCCGGCATGTGCTCACGCTTAAGTCCGGCTTGCAACACTTCCGGGCAATGCGACCGAACTCAGCCGCTTGCCCCGGCTTTTATCCTTGCCGTGGCCTTTCTACTTGCTTGGCCTTTCCGCCCGACCATGCATAGGCCACAGCGGAGCCTACGACCCACTGCCGCCCTTTTCCTCGGGCAATCCCTCAAACTTTGGTAGAATCATATCCACCAAGCTTATGGCGCTCTCTGCCAGCTTCTTGGATTGTTTTTAGTGTATACTAAACGTTTCAGTGGGCAATCCCGCAAGCAGGCTCCACGCCAACTCGCCCGGCTTGATCTGACACTGGTGACGACCAGGTCCCTATACAAATCCGAGGCTTTGCCCGACCCATGTGCATACCTGGTCACGGATGGTAGTGACCCGACTTCATCTTGCACGCCTCAATCTTCAACGTTCAGCTCGATGATGGACATCAGTTTCTTTGATTGAGCGGGGTGCGCTACAAGATCTTCAACTCCATCCGAATAGGTCTTGGGGAGTCAGTAGAAATCTAATCTTCGATTTCCAGTAGGCTATAGTTCTCCACATCCAGCTTATTGATATGGATCTTGTATCCCTCGGGCATAAGTTTAGCCTATTGCGTTCCCTTTCTTTCTTCAAGTTTCTCAGGACCAAAGGTTGATAATTTCCTTTTGAGCTTTCTCTGCCACTCGGATTCCGCTACGGGCTTCCGACAAATGTCGTTTTGCTCAACTTGCATCAACGATCAAGCGGACCGCGCCCACCGATGCTTCAGCATACATTAGAGAATCAGTGGCCGACCTTGGCGCAAAAATTCAACACAGTGTACTCTTGGATATGGATATATTCATGATCTTGGTAGGCAGTGGCTCCGAGTCAACTACTCTTCTTCTAGGCCGCTAGTTTGTTGATGAGGATGATGGATAGTACGCGGATGACGAGTAGGCTAAGCTTGTTTCATGACTAGTGTGACTTGTTGCACTTTAGCGGGCCCGAATTTAAAATTTCCCTTTGGGCTCACATAGTCCCGGTTCCAAGTCCGGTAGTAGCGTTGGCACATGCTCATATACAACCAGCTCTAAATATCCTTGAGCTAGCCAAGCTCCAATCTCGCCGGCCAACCAATTATTTGCTGCACAACCTAGATCATTCTCCAAACTTAAAGATCATGCCAAGGCTTACAATTGCAGCCACCATGACAACCAAACATGCACACATGATAAACAATGATTAAGAGTTCAAAGGGCCGATCGTTGAGGTTGCGTGAGCCATGAGCTAAAGTTGAACCATCTAATTTAGTATCGAATGCAACTAGGTGAGCTCGGAGCCTCCTGTGCTTTTTCATTTGGGAAATTGCAATATAGTCGATGTTGACCCAAAAGAGACACACGAGCACACTATGCTGCAGTCATCCGACTCTCGCCCCAGGTTTGAAGCTCAAGCGGGCTAAATAACGATTGGTTTTGATCACCCTAAGTGTCATACCAAGGATACGACCCAAGTGTTTCGAATATTTTGTAAACGGCCATAACCTTGAAAGGGTGAGAATGTAGTATGCTAAAAACGAATTTGCGAAAACGTGAGAAAGCAAGTATAAGGCCCACTTAACATCACTTGGATATGACGGTCGCAAATTTGACGCCTCCTTACACTTTACATATTTAGCCCCAGCTCCTATCGACTACACAGCGGCTTTATGCACCTCCAGCATATAGTCGTGTCCATTCCTTCGCTGCACGTAAACACAAAACGTTTAGGCACGAATTCGTTCCTCCGAAAGTGGATCAAGTGCATAGATTAGAGCAAGGTCGATGATACAACAAAATTGAGAACATAGAGAAGCCTGTTCGGATGCATCAAAGTGACGAGATGCAGTATTTTTGCTCTGATAAGTACCTTTCACTGTTGTATTTGTGTTGCCGGAACGTGGGGTGCCTTTTGCAAGCATGATAGAGTAAGCTCCAGAAGCATAATGCTTGATGAATGCTCCTCTCTTCAATCTGCTCACAATGGCCCGAACACCACAAGATGGAGTTTCATTCAAGCGACATGTCAAGGCTTCCAAAGTCAAAATTGAACGACTATCAGGAACTCAATGAGAATCCCTGACTGAATTTAGAAAACTCGACGTAAGATCACTCACCCGTAGCAACTGCTTCGATTTCATTCTGCTTCCAATGCTTTGCAACATTCTCCGCAAGTGGGTCATCCGGATTTGGTGCACTCAACAAAGCTTGAATACTGCATCCAGAATCCAAGGGTGCGTCACATTCTTGATTCACATTGACCACAATCACTTTCTTGGAGTACAATGACCATGATTAGTCTGCGTGTGACCGCAAGTCGTCCACAGAGAAAGCAAGCAGCTTCTGGACACAGAGTAAGAACTGGCCCTGTCTACTGCAATGGTCTGACTGCATCAAAGTCAAACAGCTTTGCCTAACCTCTCACCTAAGAAGGACAGTTCGAATCTGCAGGGCAGGGCTCCATTTGTCTTTCAAAATATCGAGGCAGATGCGTCCTAGCTGCAAAAGTGAGACCCAACATTAAAATCTGTGCTCTGAGTACTCAGGCTGAAGTAGGCAATATCAGGCTTGACAGCAATTGCAATTCAATCAGGCTGAAAGTGTGGCTTGAGACAACCCAATCAGAAGCACAGGTTTGCCCTGTGCACGATCAGGAGAACTCAGGATCTGCTGTACTCGGGCACAAATTAAAGAGCTCAGGTGATTGCACTGGTCTATAATACTCTGGAACCATCTCCAAACTCACCTTATCAACATTTGGGTGATATAACTTTGTAAGGAATCGGACCTGCACATCCACACGTTGCATCACAATGAGCCTCCGTAGTGAGGAAGGCCTTGATAAGAAAGAAAGCGTTTCAACACATTCTAACCAAGATACAACACCAACGATTAAAACAAAACCCAAGGAGTTTAGCTTGTGGACAAGGCTTCCCAACAAGCAAGGTAGTCAGTGATGAGGGTCATTGTCTCCACAATCCCATGCCAATTGTCTGAGGTGTCTTCGTAAAGGCAGTTGCCTTTTCTTGAAACGCATACAGCAGGCAAGCGGCTGTCAGCGGAGCTAGAAGCACAGGTTGGCAAAGCAAAATGGTGACCTTTGGGGGTGCCATCGGGTAATCCTCTGGTAGAAATAGCTCCAATTTGAAAACACCGCCTGCAGACAAAACAGACACAAAGTGAGCCAGCTGCCGCCCCTGTCATGCTGTCGTGCTGTCGTCTGTCGCTAGTCTCTGCTCATGCCGGGAATGGTGCACAAATAGCTCTTCCAACACCCCACCGATCTGTCCAAGTGCAACCCAATCTTTGCCTGCTCCCCCTACCTTCATAAGGAGATTGTGTTGGCCCTAAAATCATCACATTAAAGTGGCGCAAGTTGTCCTCAGCCGGTGAGGCACTGATCCCCGGCGCTGCAGCATGGAAAAGGAAGAAGATCAGCAGGGCCGGCAACATCCGGTTGCCCCAGCATCTTCCGCGGGCGAGCGAGGACCTCGCTGTGCACACAACAGAGTTACACGCTGCTCGTCATCTGCTTCATCACACCATTGGAAGAGACTCCAGTTTGTAAACATACCTGGTTCACTGAGCAGCCGCTGTGTTTCCTGTACGGCAAAGCAGATTCCAGTGAGAATAACAGCTAAAAATATGCACGTTATGCTAAGATATGTGTGCAACAAGCGAAGCATGTATTTAGGGTTTGGAGTCTTCAAAGCAAAGCTTGCTTCCTACCTTTATAATTCGCCGTGGTAGGTTGGAGTTGGCCGCCATCATCTACAGAAGCAGTCGCACAGGAGAGTCCAAATGACGAGGCCCAATAGGCAGTCTACAGATGTAATGAGCGCCACCAAAAAGTTAAACGCTTTCAAGGACTACCAAGTTTTTGCTGCCTGAACGGAGCCCTGGCTGCACTGTCCTCATCTCTGTGGTACAGGGGCCAGCCCAACATTATACCGTACTTCACTTGGGTTAAGTGTTGACCACCCTATCTAATCAAAACCGCGGTCGCCGGAATCGCGGCTCCAATTCCGTCGTTTTCCAGTGCCCGGGGCACGGATTGTCAAGACTCGATATACGGCCTTCCCGGGGATCCCCTCAGGCGGGCCTATTGCGGATCCAAATTTTGAGGATTTTTGAGAAAATTCAAATACGATGGTAGGAGGTACCTACAGTAACCTAGACCTGCATGATGTTTTAGTACCGTACGGCATACCGGTATGCAGAGTCTGAGATGACTCGAATGATGCTTTTTAAAACCTCCAGATTATACATTAAGTTCTTGAGGTTTTCCGCGAACTTCATCCACGGCCCACGGGTGTCACAGAAACAGTAGTACCGCTTTGCGCTATGTGCCAAGAAGCGTCAGCCAAACCCTTTTCCAATTTTCGGGTCTATGGGATAGCAGGAATAAAGTTCCTTCTTCTCTGACAATTGCTTTGAACTTGAAGTTGAACAGTGCTTGAACTCCTTGTGCGCCACGCGGGCTAATAACTACGTAGGTACTTGTCAGCGGTTGCTGCCAGGAACGGCCCTGGGTCTCAACTTGGAAGACTTTTGAGCAAAGTTCAGATCATTTGACAGCAAGGAGAGGACGTTTACAACTTGCCAGGAAGAGACTCTGTCGGTTCCGCCCGACGCCTAACGGAAGTTCTGAAGATGAAGATTACGGTGAAGACCCTGAAGGGTCAGAATTTCAGCCTGGAGGTGGATGCAACCGACAAGGTGAGCTCATGCGAGGCGCTGACTGTGCTGCTTGCATTTCCCTCACGGTTGCCTCCCCTTTCGGTTCCTGTGTTGCCCATCCAGTGTGTGACTCCGGGTGCGAATTGCCGCTGTCAAGTGAGTGATGGGGTTGCCCATCGCTGTTGCTGCCGTGGTGGTGAGTGCCCCTGGTGTGCTGCTGTGCTGCGCTGCGCAGATTGCGGAGGTGAAGCGCAAGGTGGCGGCAGCGCAGGGCGCAGAGGCGTACCCGGTTGGCGCTCAGGTGCTCATCTACCAGGGCAAGGTGCTTAAGGACGACACCAGCGTGGCCGACAACAGCATCGCCGAGAGCGGCTTCGTGGTGGTCATGCTCACCAAGGTCAGCAGCATCCGCCACGCGGCACCCAGCAGTACGGATGCATGGACTGCACCTGCTTGCGCCAACATTCCGACCTTGTTTTCTTTTCGCCGCTCTTGCTTTTCCTTTCAATGTTATCATACCTTCTTGATTCCATTGCTGTTGAGTTTCTTTCTGGGTTCTCCTGTTTCTATGTTGATCTGATAATTAGTGCATCATTCTCCTTTGCAACCTCCATCTTCCATACCTCTCTGCCGGCACCTGTGCATCTGCCATACCTCTCTGCCCGCCCCTGTGCCTCTGCAGTTTTGTTCACAAGTGCGAGCAAGTTTTGCTTCAGTGGCCACTTCAGGTTGTGGTGGCTATGATCAGGACCTCGCACTTGCTGCCCTCCTTGCCTCCTCTGCCCCGCACAACTGCTTCCTGCACTCCAATCGCTGCCGCTCCAAGTGCCCGTCCTTTGCCGTTCTTGCTCCTGCCTTTCCCCACCCCCCCCTTGCTCTGTCTGCAGGCCAAGCCCGCTGCGGCCCCTCCCTCGGCTGCTCCTCCTGTGCCCGCTGCCAGCCCCGCTGCGGCGCCCCCTACCGCTGCGCCTGCTGCTGTTGCCCCCCCTGCTGCTGCTCCCCCTGCTGCGGCGCCCCCTGCTGCGTGCGTCCTCCATGCTTTGCTCCCTTTGCTTCTTGTGCTAGGCCCTGCCACGCCTATCGCTGCTCCCTGCTGCCGCTTGCCAGGGGCCAGGCTCCTGAGGCATAGCAGAGCGGGCCAGCGCGGGCCAGCCCCCCTTGCACGGCCGATGCAGCGGCCTGCGTGGGGCCCGCCATGGTCCCACCGGAGGGCCCGTTCCTGCTGCGCCACCAGGCAAAGCCTCTCTTGGCACTCCCGCCCTTGCTTGGCCCGCGGGTCTGACCCTCTCCCCTTCTCCCCCCTGCTGCAGGGCTGCCGCCGCCCCAGCCCCTGCTGCTGCTGCTGCTACTGCGCCGTAAGCCCCTCTGCCCCTGGGTGCACCCTCAGCTGCTCTGCGCGCAGCCCTCCTCTGCGACAGCCCCTGCCACGCGCCAGCTGATGCCCGCTGCAGGGCCTCCCCCATGCCTTGCCAGCGGGGATGCCTTCCTTACTCCGCTGCTGCTCCTGTGGCTGTAGCGCTGAGGTGTGGTGCATCGCGTGTGTGTGTGTGTGTGTGTGTGCAGTGCGGTGGGCGGCGTGGCGGGGGAGGCGGGGTACGACAGTGCGGCGTCCACGCTGGTGGCGGGGAGCGCGCTGGAGAGCACCATTGCGCAGATCCTGGAGATGGGCGGCGGCGCCTTCCAGCGCGACCAGGTGGTCAAGGCCCTGAGCGCCGCGTACAACAACCCCGAGCGCGCCGTCGAGTACCTCTACACCGTGAGTGGCCCTCCGCAGGCGCGCTCAAGCGCTGCGCTGCGGGGGAGACTCTGCGCACCCCAGCTGTTGTGCTGCACAGACACTGCGGTGTTGCGCATGGCCGGGGGCACTTTGGCTCGCATGCCCCTCCCTGACTGCCTCTGCTGCTCCCTCACTGTCTGCATCAGGGCATCCCGGAGACCGCGGAGGCCGCTCCTGTGGTTGCTCGCGGCGCCACTCCTGCGCCCCCCCCTCCAGGCTCTGACGCTGCGCCTGCCCCCGGGGCTGCGGCTTCTCCTGCCTCTGCGGCTCCTGCGGCGGGCCCGCCCGGTGGTGGCCCCAATGCAGCGCCACTGGACCTGTTCCCGCAGGGCATGCCCGGCTGGGGGGGCGCCGCAGCGGGCGCGGGGCCGGCCGGGGCGCTCGACTTCTTGCGCGAGAACCCGCAGTTCCAAGCGCTGCGCCAGATGGTGCAGGCCAACCCGACCATCCTGCAGGTGAGGGCTCCCACCGCAGGCAAGCCTCGCGGCATGCGCGCGCATCTGCTCGCCCTGGGGGCCGCGCTGCTGGGCTGGCCTGCCGTGCGCTGGCGGCTGCGGCAGTGCGCTGACCCACTGGCGGGTGTGTGTGTGTGTGCAGCCGATGCTGCAGGAGCTGGGCAAGCAGAACCCGCAGCTGCTGGCGCTCATCAACGCGCACCAGGCCGAGTTCCTGCGCCTCATCAATGAGCCCGCCGCAGAGGGCGAAGCGTGAGCCCTCCTGACCGCCCGCATCCTGCCACGTCGCGCACTGTCTGCACTGTGCGGCAGTCTGCCGCCATGCCTGCGCGCAAGTCGCCTGCCGCAGGGACGGGGCCGCGCCCTGAGGCGTTTGCGTGAGTGTGACGGCGCAGCGCGTGGCGATGTGTGCGTGCAGGGACATTTTGGGGCAGCTGGGCGAGATGGGGGGGGGCGCGCCGCAGGCCATCAACGTTACGCCCGAGGAGAAGGAGGCCATCGACAGAGTGAGCCCAGCTCCGCCTGCCGGCCGGCAACGGCTCTCCTGCGCTCTCTGCAGCGGCGGGGGGTGGTGGGAATGCACGCCGGGCAGCCGTGTGTCGTCTCCCTGCCTGGTTGCGGCCGCTCAATCGTAATCTCACGCAATGCCCGTGGGGCAGGTTCCGAAAGACTGAGCCCTTGAATAGTCAAGCAAGACTGGAAGCTGGCGCTGATCTTGAGGCGTTTTCTGTGGTTGTGGTTGCAGCTAGAATCCATGGGGTTCGATCGAGCCAGGGTGATCGAAGCCTTTCTCGCTTGTGACAAGAACGAGAACCTGGCGGCCAACTATCTCCTAGAGCATGCACAGGACATGGAGGACTAGTCGTCAGGTGCAAAGCTCGTCGTTTCTGCCAAATTCAGGACAGTCGAATCCGATCATGTTCGAAGACTCATGAGTCACATGCTCCCCGTCAGTCCTTCCATCTATTAGTCTCTCACCCAATGCGCTGTGATTGACAGGTCTCTGACATTTTGACACCTGTAGCCGGTCCTTGATGAGTTCGTCCCTTCTTGAGTGACACCGACAGGTACATCGAAGGGATGCTAATGATCAAACTTGCAGTGAACCATAGCAGTCACGGGGAAGCTTCCGACGGCTTCTCTTTGTATGTGATGTCATTAGGCATGGATTGGACACTAAAGTGTATGTTCTGCCACTAGCGCATGAGCTATACCCTCATGCATGGTGACTCCATATAAATGTATGCTACAAGTCACAACTTTAGCTGACGTACTCCAACCATCATAATGTACATCAGTTCTCAAGATGCATGTTGCACTCGATGAGGACGTAATAACTCCCATGCGCCGTGCAAACCTTGGCCAGTGTACGTGCGTTATGGTCACTTGCTGTTATATAAACCCTGAGCCACGTTGAGCCATTAAGCAACGCTCTGTCGAGAACCGGGTGCATGATCTCTGTCGGCCTGTCTTCACTCATGGCGGCATGCCAGGCCATGTATATGAACAACTATCCCGCGGCCATCCGATCCGATCCGGCTGCAATGATGGGCCCGATCATTCGGACACTGACAATACATGCCAGCCATGTGGACACGAACGGCGAGCTGTCAAAGAAGCCTGTCTTGACCATACATAGGTATGCAGATGGCAGCCCTCCGAGACTAGCTAGAGTGCTTTCCTCGTTCGCGCATGCACATGAATGCGGATGACATTTAGTCGCGGATGCTTCTTGGAGGACATGTTATGGCCGCGCGGCCCCAATTCAACTTACCCACGTCATGAGGATTGCAATCCTCAAATTAATGCCACATCAAGAACACACATCGATACTGGTGATGCGCAGTCGATGAATAAAACCAGGCCGATGGTCAACCTGCAAATCCGTTTGACACCTGCACAATAAAGGAAAACTGGCAACCGCTTAAGCACGGCTCATCATGCATGCATGTTGTAACGACTGGATTGATTGGTTCAATTGGATTGGATTGCCCAAAGTCAGGTCAACGTACTACATAGATATTGAACGGTAGCATATGCCTGGTCCACAAGTTTCATGCCAAACCACACGTACAGATATGTATGGTACAAGTCACCATCATGCACTATACAATTGAAGTCTGCTATACAAACCGCAACTCCTGCAAAAGCACGTGTGCTCTTCGAGCACCTTTTCTGTCGATCCCTTTGCCTTTTTCCATAATCCACCGACTGACGAAAGATGGTTCATACATCACAGCTTGAGCCCGGCCAGCCAATTGGATATGCAAGGCAACGAACGAGAATGAAGCGATCCAGGAGCTTGTACCCATCGTTCAGGCCGTGCATGATCGCCTAGCCAGCTGCACAAGTCATATGTGGAGAGATGACAAACACTCAAAAGCGGACTCTCCCAAAGAACCAGATCCCTGGGTTGGAAGACTATGTTCAGGCCAAGCTTATGCTTGTACCAGCCCAACTCAAAGCAAAACTTAAAGCAAGGTCAATCTGGGGTGCTGGGTCCAGCTCGGGCGTCCCTTCGTTCGCCTAAGAAGCTCAACGAGAGCGCCTCACTGATCCTGAGCATGGGTTGCAGCAGCGGCGATGCGCGCAGCCGCGGGTCAAAGATCCTGTCCCGGAACGTCACTCCCCCCTCCAGCCCTGCCCGCCCTGCCGCCACCGCCGCCGCTGCTGCCGCCCCCTCCTCCTCCTCCTCGTACCCTGGCCGGATGCTGACCAGGTCTTCCGGGAAGTCGCCATCCAGAGTCACCGGCGCGCCGCGCCCCTCTCCCTGCCGCTGCCCCCTCCCTGGCCCGTTGCCTCCCCTCCCCATACGGCCCCGAGGCCCCGCTGGGTCCCTCTCTTCCGCCGCTGGCCGCCCTGCCCGCCCCTCTCTTCCCTGCCCTGCCGTGCCCCCTCTCGCACCGCTGCTGCGCCGTCCCCCTAGTTGCCCCTCCCGCGTGCGCGCTGCCGCGGTCGGGCCCCCCTGTGGCAATCCCTCGCCCGCCCGCTCGGCGCCTGCGTGAAGCAACAGAGCGCAGTCAGTGGCTGGCTCCTCACCAGCGTGGCCGCACTGGCTCCACCGAATGCAGCCTGCTGCCCCCAAGCAGGGGGGCGTACGCCAGCGCGCAGCTGGCGGCGCGTGGTCCAGTGCACGCACCAGCGGCTGAGGTCCCGGCCAAAAGTGGGGCCACTACTGGAGCGACCAGGAAGAGCGAGGTCGCATTGAGCAGCCATGGGCTGTCTGCAGCCACAGGACCGCCGCCGCGTGTGCCCCCCTGTCTGTGGCAGCCCGCGCTTACCCCCTGCCTGGCGCCGTCCTGCTCCCCGCCTCCTCCTGCTCCAGTCCGCCAGCATGCGCTCCAGCCGCGCCATGCCGCCCGACCGCCGGTCCCCCCCCGTGAGATGCGCGGCCTTGGCCAGGGCCCCAGCCGCGGGTTGCGCCGCATCCAAGGGGCGGGGTGGGGGGGGCGGCGGCGCAGCGGCAGGGGGGGCTGGCCCGACCGGGCTCTCCACAATGTTCTGCACGTTGCCAGGGGGCGCACAAGGAGTCAGGCTGAGGAACATGCACGCCCTTCGCACTCCGCCGTGCATAAGAGACTGGAGGAGGCGCAGCGCCTCTGGCCCCTGCCAGCCTCAACGTTGTGGAGCTCTCCGCGCCTCCCCTCCCCCACCCCCTTACCTGCACGTCGGCAATCCACTGCGCGCGGCGCCAGTCAAACTCCAGCAGGTTGCCGCGGCGGCGGGTGCGCCCGTCGTGCCAGTGCGGCATCTGCTCTGCGCGCTCGCGCACCTCAAACGCGGGCACCAGGTGGCCCACGTAGCGCTGCGTGCTCTCTCCCGGCACCTTCTGCGCCTTGCTCACACGCATCAGCCGCAGCCCCGGCGTGCCGACCCGCCCCGCGTGGCCCCGAGCAAGCGCTGCCCTGCGGCGCTGCAGGCGCTCATGCGACGGGGCGGGGGGGCGCACAGCAGCAGCGGAGGACGGGGGCGCGGCGGAGGCGGCGTGGTGGCGGGTGTTGAGTGCCGCGGGGGCCCAGGCACAGAGGTAGCCGTGCAGGTTGACCACGGGCATGATGCCCACGCTGCACAGCGCACAGCGCCGCGGGGTCAGGGCAGCGCCGCGACAAGCACGCCCCAGCAGGGCGCCGCAACCTCTGGAATGGGCCCCTGCTGCGCCATGGCAGCACCAAGCAGAGCCACGCAAATGCGTGAGGGCCAGCCCCCCTGTTGGTGGTCCGGGGCGGCTGTCAGTGGCTCACCCGTCGCAGAACCAGCATTGGCGCTCCCACGTGGCGCGCCCGCCGCGCGGCCCCAGCCCATCCAAGCCGCGCCAGCGCCAGAGCACTGCAAACGGCCGGCTGCGTGCGCCCCGCTGCGGCGCGCTGCGCGAGGGGTCCGCCTCGAGGTGGTGCAGCGCCTGCTGCAGATT